TTGTCTTGGAGTCCCATTACCATTTTATGGCGGTTGAGTATAGGGTTGGGCAATATTGGCAAAAAAATTAATCACGATTAATTGTGGTATTTAGCCGATAACSATTAATTTGACGATTAATGCCCTGGAGTCCCTGGACACCCTTATGTAAGTAAATAAGTAAGTAAAACTTTATTTATATAGCACATTTCAAGATAGAGATCACAAAGTGCTTCAACAAACACAAATAAAACAAAATGTGTCCAAGTCACATGACCAGTTTAGTGGGAAAGATTTGCTCTTTGTAAAAATCGGTTCCAAATTGTGTCAAAATTACAGACTTCAGGCTACACATCAATTTTGAAATTGTGTTGATAGATAAATAAATTACAGAACCTTTTTTTTTAAAGGTTCATCATATTAAGCGGAGAGGCACACTGAGCAGACTCTGCCTGGTGGCATTAATCGTATTAATCGTCAAGTGCCAAAAATTAATCGATTAATGTTCTTCTGACGATTAATTGCACACAATACGATTATGCCCAACCCTAGTCTGGGTGAATGTATTTCACAAAATCTTCTATGTGTCCCAAGAAAAAAGCCATACTTTAATTTTACCCAGTGAAACCTTAACTYATCCGATRCATGTTTTRGCTGCATTAAAACGTGTTGATATATTAAAGCTATTTCCCTAATGGTTTTCRTGTCCCCTGGCAGCAAGTGTGCATCATCCAACCTGACCTTTCCCTCCACGACGACACAAAAACACTGCAGACTATTAAAGGTGACGAAGACTAGCGGTGTGTGTGTGGGGGAGACGGGAGAGACAGAGTGTGACCATGAAGACACGAGTCATTATTAAAGCTTAATCTTGACGGAGGAAAAAGCCACAGGCAGAGGGCTCACTGAGTAATCATCCCACCAATCCTGAGTGGGTATTCTGAACGAGAAACGTGGCAGCATGACAGGAACCAAACTTAGCTGGCACGTCAAGGAGTGACGACGCTTTTCAAAATGAGCTGCTAACATTAAAGCAGCAAAATCATGCAGATGAAATATATTTTCTGTGAAAGTTAGTCACAGTCTCTGCTGCAGTATGCAACAAACCCCGCATGTTTAATTAATGAGTAGCTCGGCCAGCACGTTTGGCACAGTTTATGCTATCAATTGCTTAAATGGAGATTTTGGATAACTTCCATCACTAGAACTCTGTGTTCAGTGAGAACTTGTTGGCATATTTACACATGATAAGTCTGTTTTTGATTAATCAACCACGTAATTATTTTTACACAGTGTATCTATGTCACTGAACTCTTCCTTCCTATCTGGATGCATCAAATAACCTTTTTTAAACCAAGAACATGTGGTTGATCCTAGTACTGCAGTAGCATTTCTCATGTTTAAAAATATTCATTTCATACTGGATTAGAAATATTTCAGAAGTGATTTTCACACGACATATGGGAACAATAACCCACATGACAAACTGCCACACACTGCTACGAACAAGCTGCAATCGACTGTAACAGTTGTCATGTTGAAAAACAAACCAAAGCCTTTGGCTGTAAATGAGAGCAAACATATTCTCTGAAAATACACAACGTTGATTCTTCATCTTTTCACAAAACCCATGATCTCAAAGCTGTTTTTACGTCTACGGACATGTTGGAAGACGCACAAAAACACCATACCTTGAACAATAATTTGGTGTCTGAAAGGATTTTTTCAAGGCTTTCCTCCTGATTCATGAGATACTTTGATAAACGACCAATAAGCTAACACAATAGAACAGACGCAAACAAAAAAACATTAGCACCTCTTGCCTTCGGCAGCGGGTCACAACTGTTGTAACACTGCAAATAACTTCCTTGAATTCAACTTTCTTGTTTTTGAATATCAGAAAAGTTTTCATTTTCAATCAACTCAGGCAATAAAAAAAGTCAACAACACATCTGTGGTGGAAGAGCTGTGACGTACGGGACATCCGATATGATGATTTAATAAAGAAAAAAAATAGAGCAGAAGTTCTGTATCASCGCCTTTTTCTTTCAGTATTAGTGTGCTTCTGTGAAATGAACCCACACATTTTACATCAGGGCTTTCAGATTTCTGAGATTCAAGTGAGTGATTGTGGCTGGATGTACAGTTGTCAGAAAAAGAAATATTCACACAAATCATTGCGTCACTAAACGTTTGGTGCGAAGGCTGTGTGTGAGTCTGATAAAAGCTAAACATTAAATGGGACAATCTGCTGTTTTCAGTTTACTTCTTTTAAAGACAAGAAATATAACCTCAATTCCAATGAAGTTGAGACAATGGGCCTCATGCAAGAACATGTTTGTATTCTTATCCTAAATTTCTCTTACTTTTGTTCGTACAAAGGGTTCGTACGAACATGCCA